TTCTCTCTATCTCTCTATATCACCCTCTCACACTACTGTACCTCTCTACCTCTCTCTCTCTCTATCTCTCTATATCACCCTCTCACACTACTGTATCTCTCTATCTCTCTCTCTCTCTCTATCTCTCTATATCACCCTCTCACACTACTGTATCTCTCTATCTCTCTCTCTCTCTCTATCTCTCTATGTCCCCCTCTCACACTACTGTATCTCTCTATCTCTCTCTCTCTCTCTATCTCTCTATGTCCCCCTCTCACACTACTGTATCTCTCTATCTCTCTCTCTCTCTCTCTCTATCTATATCCCCCTCTCACACTACTGTATCTATTTCTCTCTCTCTCTCTCTCTCTATCTATATCCCCCTCTCACAAAATGTCGGTTTAGAGCCAGAGAAGGGCTTAAATTTATATTTGTTCACTTAAAGTTGTTAATTCCCTTTTGGCTCTAACCAGACGATGTAAATACGAGGAACATAGTTGCTGTTTACCAGCAATTCCATTACTGGCAATTCACGGTTATAAAAACCCAGGCCTCTAAAGGGTAGAATGGTCACAACACAAATAAATCCATGCTTTCAATCATTTATTGCAACGCTCCCTCTTAACACAAAGGCACTACATTTCGAACAAAAGTTCTGCGATAGGTTTTGTCGATGATTATTAGATAGTAACTATCTTCCCTACAATGCATCACATAAACTAACAACTTTAAAAAAAATACAACGTTCATGTTGCCTTTCGGAGTATGAATTGTAGTATATTGAAAAGAAAAAGAAAATTATTGATATCAAGCTTTCCTAATTCGTTTTTCTTCTGCTTCATTTCTTCTCTTGATATAGCTCGATACACAATACTTGGATGCAAATATTAGTTTATGTTAATGTGACGACTAATGGTCTCATGTGACAAGAAGATTCTCCCCGGTCGCATGGGAAGGGAGGGGGTTTACAAAATTGAAGTAATGAACATATATATCCAAAAGGCATATTCTTGACTTAAATTATACTTCCTGTTCTGTTGAGTTTTGTTTTCTTGCAAATATTGTTATCCATATTAATTTCTTCATTTAAACATAAATTACATTTATTTTCACACTCACTAAATGTCATAATCCTCGTTTAAACAGGGGGGAGGGGGGTATTAATTTTTTGAAGGGGATTTACAATATCAAGTTAGATCACAAGGGTCATTCAAAATCAGCAGTTAATGATGTCATCTGATTTGACGCGATATCTATGTTTCTTTGCTCACTACTTCCATTGCTATTACAACAGCAACTACAATTACTACTACTACTACAACTTGTAGTCCTACTACTACTACTACTCCTACTACTACTACTACAACTTGTAGTCCTACTACTACTACTACTACTACTACTACTACTACTACTACTACTACTACTACTACTACTACTATTACTACTATAACTTATAGTCCTACAACTACTACTACTACTACTACTACAACTTGTAGTCCTACTACTACTACAACTATTACTACTACTACCACTACTGCAACAACAACAACTACTACTACTACTACTACAACTTATAGTCATACTACTACTACAACAACAACTACTACTACTACTACAACTTATATTCCTACTACTACTACAACAACAAATACTACTACTACTACTAACTACTACTACTACTACTACTACAACTTATATTCCTACTACTACTACTACAACTTATAGTCCTACAACTACAACAACTACTACTACTACTACTACTACTACTACTACTACAACTTATAGTCCTACTACTACTACATCATTTACTAATACTACTACTTCTACTAAAACTTATATCCATACTACTACTTCAACAACTACTACTACTACTACTACTACTACTACAACTTATAGTCCTACTACTACTACTACTACAACAACTACTACTACAAATTATAGTCCTACTACTACTACAACAACTTCTACTATTACTACTACTACTACTAAAACTTATATCCATGCTACTACTTCAACAACTACTACTACTACTACTACTACTACTACTACTTATAGTCCTACTACTACTACTACAACAACTACTACTGGAACTTATAGTCCTACTACTACTACAACAACTTCTACTATTACTACTACTACTACTACTACTACTTAAACTCATATCCATATTACTACTTCAACTACTACTACTACTTCTACTACAAGTCCTACTACTACTTCAACAACTACTACTACTACAACAACTTATAGTCCTACTTCTACTTCAACAACAACAACTACTACTACTACTACAACTTATAGTCCTACTACTACTTCAAAAACTACTACTACTACTACTACTACTACTACTACAACTACTACAACTTATAGTCCTACTACTACTTCAACAACTACTACTACTACTACTACAACTTATAGTCCTACTACTACTTCAAAAACTACTACTACTACTACTGCTACTACAACTTATAGTCCTACTACTACTTCAAAAACTACTACTACTACTACTACTACTACAACTTATAGTCATACTACTACTTCAACAACTACTACTACTACAACAACCTTTAGTTCTACTACTACTTAAACAACTACTACTACTACTACTACTTTTACTACTACAACTTATAGTCCTACTACTACTTCAACAACTACTACTATTACAACTTATAGTCCTATTACTACTTTAACAACAACTACTACTACTACTACTACAACTTATAGTCCTACTACCACTTCAAAAACTACTACTACTACTACTACTACAACTTATAGTCCTACTACCACTTCAAAAACTACTACAACTACTCCTACTACAACTTATAGTCCTACTACCACTTCAAAAACTACTACTACTACTACTACTACTACAACTTATAGTCCTACTACTACTTCAACAACAACTAATACTACTACTACTACAACAACAACGTATAGTCCTACTACTACTTCAACAACAACTACTACTACGAATACCTTGATAATGGAGCAAAACATGTGCATGATCAAACATTGTGCCGAATCCATCTTGCTTTCTAAAAATACATTTTCCACTTTGAATCATAATTTTAAAGAAATGGTTCCTCTTTCCTGACACCATGATAACAAAGCCTTCAAGCGACAATCATTACACAAAGCAATTGTGAATTGCGAATTGTTCCTTTAGAAAGAGCGTCCTCGATTGGCCGCGGTTGTGTGCAGCCTTTGTGTTAGTCTTATTCCAGACTCGAAAGAACATACAATATGTATTTGAGACTCGAATCCACACGTAGTTATATAACTCCACATTAAAAATAAAATTAAGGAGATAAATACAAAGCGCTCTAACAATTCCTTCCACTCTGAATAAAATGCCTGGCATTTAAATCAAAGATGTTTTCAGTCGATCCATGCTAGATGTAGGCGTATAGAGACTGAAAGGATAAACTACACGGAACCAAATTACTGCAAACCTCATGGGCCTAAAGTACTTATTTTCATAATTATGTTCATCGGGTTTGTCATTGCGCCTTCGCAAAAGGCACTGTTTTCCTCTTACCTAAGGTGTAGCCTGCGTAGTCGTAAATACATGTGTGTGTGTGTATGTGTGTGTGTGCGTATGTGGGCCTTTATTTGGACATTTGGTTAAGGTTACACACATTTAAGGGGTTAGTTATTCATTTGATCGAATATTAAAAGATGATTTGAATTATAAAGAAATTCTAAGTAAAAAAAAAAAAAATGCTTATATGGTGGAAAAAAAGGGATTTAACTATTATGGGTAAAATATATATTTTGTTTAAGTATGCGCTTTCAAAATCAAATTATATTTAATCTCTCGTTATTGTCCCTCATTGGGTATACAAAGAAGTTTCAGAAAGTTCATTTAAATTTATACAGCGCATAATGTGGATAAAACGTCTTTTAAATGGAGAGAAAAAATTGGGATGGAAATTGTTTTTTTATCATTGCTTACAGTTTGTGGGTGGTAGATTTTCTTTTTAATGTGATTATGATTTTAAAAAGATTTAACTCGTTTTAGATATTCCACATACTATATGGAAATGTTGCAAGCATGGCAAGAGAAAAGTAATTTAAGATATTTGGAGGGTTATATTAATTCAATTATTTAATAATAATATAAATATTTTTAATAATCGGAATATATGTATAAATGGAAAAAGTATATTTAATAGATACTTGTCTGAAAGAGGGATTGTTCAACTGAATTACTTGGTTGAGAAAGGCCATGTTAAGTCTGTTAAATATTTTATTAACCTCGGTATGAAAGGTAATAATTTGCTTATGATTATTGATATTTATGATGCGATACCCAGGTTATGGAAGGATGATTCAGGGTTAATAAAATTCCTCGACGTTGATTTAATAAGCTTTAATACTTATTTTCATATTTCAGGTAAAAAAAAAAAAAAAATTGGATGTGGGTTCAAGAACAATTCAAGATTATTTTATCAAAGCAATGCAGCAAACGTATGATTTGCAGGTAAGGGATATGGGCAAAATTATTGTGATTTTATAGATAAAGAATTAAACGAAATATTTGTTAGACCAAGTATTACTATACTCATTAGAAAGCAACGAGAATTTCAATTTAAATTATTGCATGGAGCCACATATACTAATGAGCATCTTCATAGATTTGGTTACGTTGGTGATAATTTATGTTCGTTTTGTAAGCAGGAAAAAGAAACATACAAGCATTTATTTTTATCTTGCGGGAGCGTTCAAAGGATATAGCAGGCTTTAGTTCAACTTTTTGAGTTAGATGAAATTAAAGATTTAGAATGGCGAAATATATTTGTTGGGTTGGCAGGTAGTTCATATAGAATACAAATGTGTAATACTATCATTTTCATGGTGAAGTATGTTACATCTATGTCAAGATAGGGGGGGGGGGGGCGAGTACCAACTTTAGAAAAGTATGTGTGTGAGAGAGGGAGGTAAAGGAGGGCTGGAGGAATGGTTGATGTTCCTCGTGTGTGTGTGCGTATGTCTGTGAGAGAGGGGGTGGAGGGGGGGGGGCTTGAGGAATGGTTGATGTTCCTCGTGTGTGTGTGTATATGTGTGTGTATGGGTGTGAGAGAGGGGTTGGAGGAGGGGCTTGAGGAATGGTTGATGTTCCTGATGTTGCGCTTTGACGTTTTACTGCAGTCAAAGAAAGTGGTATGTCGCATTACATTATTCTATACTTCAGCATATTGTATGCAAGCAATTTGGTGATATTTAATTCCGTTTTTTCTAAGTGTGTTAACAAATGAGGGCAATCGCCGTAAAATTCCCGATAAATGAAGAATACTTAGGAAAGCCAGTGAAGAGTAAACAGAATAATAAAACAGGATTGTGCCTTTGTTCTTTCCCTTGATGGAACGCAATGTATCGAAAATAATTTTGATTTTTGTATTGTGCCCGCTATTTGATAGTGTAGCAGGGGCGTCAATCAGGGGGGGGGGCAGGGGAGACGCCCCCCCGATTTTTCCTAGGGGGGATATCATATTAAATGTCCCCCATGTTTTGTCAGAAAAGAAGGGGGACCACCACGAACAACTACAACAACAACATTTAGTGCTTCTTTATACCCCCCCCCCCCTCGCTTATTTACCGGCTGGCTGATTCGCCGCTAAATATTTTCTCACGAATTGGAGAAAAAAATAGTGCTCCTTCGACAATTAAACATTTTCCTTTCTAATAAGAGTCATCTTCCCTTCTAATAAGTGCCTCCTTTAGTTTGACACGTGCCACTTTTCCTTTCTAAATACGTGAGCCTTTCCCTTTTGATAACTGCCCCTTTTTCTTCTATAATAAATACCATTCCGCATTTCTATAAATGCCCCCTTTCCACCTCTAATGAGAGCCCTATCCAATCTGATAGGTGCCCCTTTTTACTTTGACAAGTATCCGTTTTCCTTTGTAATAAGTGAAGTTTACCTCATAGGAAGAGCAACCTTTCTTCTCTGATGAGTGTCACTGTAAACATATGAGAAATGCATTATTAGGGATGATCTTCAAATATTCATCTTTTCGTAGTCCGAGATAGTGGTTTAGCACGATGCTCTGCTGCTGTGTGTGGTGTTCTAAATGTTCATTTGCAAGCGAGCCAAACGAGCAAGGAATTGTTCCAAATAAAATTGTGGTCACATTAGGACCGTTAGTTCTCAATATTACATGTAATAACCGGTCCTGATGGGTTTTTAAATCAAAATCTCATAATGAAACCAAGAAGAACCTCCATAGGCTACTTAATGAGATGCACTTTAAATGCTAGCGAGCGTAGCAGGCAAGATTTGGATTAGCAGCACATATAGCAGCACATTTATCAGCTATAATCGGTCATATAACTGTTTCTTGTCGCTCCCTACTAGATACAACTTAGCATACCTTAGTGCGTTATATCTGAGAGGGGAACAAGGGAATCTCAGAAAAGCTAGGCTTGTTGAGCGTGATCCCAGTATGCATTAAGAACTAGACCATGGTCTGCGTGCATCAAATCCTGCACATGCCTGCTCCCAGAGTCCAGAGAGACCCAAGACGCGCGAATTCACCTGCCCGCGCCAGATCCCCGGGTCTCCACCGCCGAGGCCAATTCCGCATACCCAATGGTGGTAGTGGTGGTGGAGAGGGTGGAAAATTGACATGACATGTTGTCAAATAACATTGAATAGTAGTTCTCACAATTGACATTTAAGTATAAATCCATAATGTTATAAACACAAGTTACTTAAACCATTATTGACCATAATAAGAGGATGTATGTACTGCTTTTCAACCTCCTATTTTTAGGAAAACATAACCATTATAAACCATGTACATGTTTCAAAGTGATTATATATATATATTATGTATTAACTAAGCATATTAATTTTATACCTACATTTTCTGTATTCATAAGGAGAAAATTCGGTCGGAATGTTTTAACTTTTGAAAATATGTGGACCATTTCTTATCTCTTTCCAGGTGTTTATGTAATATTTCGTAAATTAAACAAAATACATGTATACATAACAATCAAATCAGTTGAATAAAACCAAAATCCTCAAGATTTTCAATTCACTGAAGCCCGTTTCAATGTATGTAGAGGTGTTGTGGACTAGTGGACAAGTCACCCGACTGCAGATCACAAGGTACGGGGTTCAAGTCCCGCCGCAGCACTAATGTCCTTTGGCAAGACATTGATCTACATTTGCCACTCTCCCCCCAGGTGTAAATGGGTACCTGATATGCTTGAGCGCTAGTTACTTTGGCAGCTCGATCGGCTACGACCAGGGTAATATGTGTAAAGCGTCATGAGCGCCAGACCCTGACGGATACCGGCGCTACGTAAATAACCATAATATTTTAAAAATTTATTATATGTATTTCGTCTGCTCCAGAATAGCAATTGAACCTTCCTTCAACAATGCGGTCTTAATTAAAGACTGTGTGCGCTCAATCATGACAATTGTGACGACATTTCCCATAATAGCTCTATGCCATAATTATAATCTGTACATTATAACAACACAGTGGGTCTACAAGCGCCACTTCGAGAGGGCCCAATATTTAAGGTAGGCAAAATGCTACATGAACGTTTAGAACAAAGTTAGGTGGATATGTTTGAACACATTATTGTTGTTGTTGTTGTTGTTTTTCGTACATTTGTCATCACAACTATATTTGATCTTATTGCTTCCTCCTTTGCAACACTCCGAGTGCAAGATATAACACTGCTACAGTAGACCTATATCCGTGTGTGTATTATGGGTGTGGGCCGGGCCTATTTTTCTTTCAATTTCGTGAACAGTTTGTAGTGATATACATCCGCGCTGAACGTTATGCACGCGAGCTACACGCACAACAGCCCCGAATTGAAGCAATGTATATACGGAGAACATCTGTATATCTAAAATGAAATACTCGTGTAAGTTAAGTACCTTCCGAAATAGTCTTCATAATTCAAGAATATTCCAGAATATCCTCAAAAATAGTCCTAACGGATTAAAGAAATACAGCGTGTTTGTCAAACTAAAAATAGCTAGCA